TAGCAGTAGTGCGCCACTTAGTTGTTTAACAACTTTTTAATATGTAGAAGAAGAACCTTAGAAACCTGCTGGGAATGGAAACTTATTTTAAATGAAAAGTAGAAACAAAAATGAAAGTAACTCATCAAAAACACCAAAGTTTGTCACTAATATGAAGAACAGCTTCTGGTTCTACCATGTAATATTTTAAAAGTTCAAAACATTATCAAATACAGTTGTAGATACAACTATATTTTAATTTGTACTTTATCAAATTAATGTGTTCCACCTGTTCTACCAACCTCCTCTATCCAAGCCAGCTCGATTGATTCTCTGTGTCTTCCTCTGGCTTCATAAAATAATTGCGGTCACCCACACACTATTTTGAAGTTTACACAAGCCTACAACATTAATAAAGTGTTAAACAAAACAACAACACAATTCTTGGCAAACCCAAAAACCTGTGTCCTGAGGCTTCTCCAGCAGAAATGGAGCATGATAAAACCAAATGGAGCGTTATAAATGATTTCCATTCAGTAATCACCTAAAACATCCTTCGTAGAATAAACACAGTAAAAGCTAGAAATAATTTATTTCACATTATCTCTGCTCATCATACTTCCTAAAACAAAATGCTTTAAAGATGTTTTAAAGAAAGTGGAACAAATAGTGTAAAACGGGCCACTCCTGGCTCGTCGCTGAGCTTTTCTTGGAATTTTCCTTTCTTTTAGAGAGGAAAAGCAACACAATGTATTTCCTGCTAAGAACTGTGTTTAGTTTTTACCAGCTTTGCTTCGGGAAGCTGTTTTTTTCACCCAGTAGGGTTGTTGTTACCTGACAAACTGACTGGTTAATGAGCTACAAGTTGGTGTGGTGCTGGCTTAACTCCACAACACAACTGCTAACTTCTAAATAAGGTTAAATCWGTTTTTATGTTATAAAAACTGATTTAAATATTTTTTCTTTTTTATTTTCAGCATGCAAATGAGGATGTTGAGAGAATGTTGCTAGGCAACAAGTGTGACATGGAGGACAAGCGGGTGGTACCCAAAGCCAAGGGAGAGCAGGTGAGACGGTTCTGTCTGATGTTCATCATAAAGTCAATGGGTCTCATGCAAGAACATGTTGGTATTCTTCTCCTAAATTTCTCTTCCTTTTGTTCGTACAAAGGGTTCGTACGAAC